GTTGCCCTCACATTTTCATCAGAATGTTCTTTTATTCAAATTTTCTTATGGCTGATCAACGGACAGCTTTCTTGAATTAGGAATGCACCCAAAGTTTGTGCGTTGTGCGACTTAGATTGAGTGCCGATAATGTTTCATCGTTCTCGATGTCTGTCTTTGCGAACGAATGCAACATCAGACCACTCAATTTGTGCCGAAAATTCAACAACGGATTCTACAGGCAGGAGTTAGATCCTGAGCAGAAAAGTCAACGAAAACTGTTGGCGCGAGATCGACGTATTTGCCTCATTTTCAATCACAGATGCCTCACTTGCAATGCAAATTTGTACTTGATGCAGCTTTCTGAAATGCGGTGGACTCTTGCATGCTAAGACATAAATAAAGTTCCTCTTAATTTACAAGTTCTTTTACCTGGTAGACCGAATGGTCAAATCCAAAGGTGTTCATACCAATTCTGGTATTCCAACCAGACTTGCCTGGTTCTTTTCGACAGCTTGTATTGAATTCTGACTATGTACTGAATAATTTCGTCAAACAGTCGTGCTTTTTAGCATTAATATAAAGATGAATGCAAATTGACTAATGAAGACAATCAAATGAAAACGAAGAAATAAATTTGTTGACGAACCTCTGAAAAGAACTGTTGCCGCTGATCATGACATGGTTACAGAACCGAGAAGCGAACCAGACTGCTTTTAAGGTTCATATTTTTCTGAGCCATTTGCTATTTGCAGTGTTGAGTTGTGCAGCTATGAGGATTTTATGATACTGAGGGGCAAGAGGCATGCCTTGCTTTCGTGTTGCCAGTTTTTAGTCATACAAATAATCGTTGTCACCAAACCCTTGAAGGTGTTTTAGCTGGACTGAGATTTTAAGACGTAGTTCAAGTTCGATGAGTGTTCGAAAAATTCAAATAAGTTGCGAATCGGTTTGAGATTTTACAGCTCACAAACAGCTGACCTGTACCATTGGTCAACTCCGCCCATTTTTTGCTGTTATACGGTATCACACTTTGTGACGACATTTTGCTATTCTGAAAAGCAGACGGCGTTTGTACATCAGTTACAAAGATATTTCTTTTCGAAGCGGTGCTATAATTTTTGCCTGATCATATTTAGCGATTGGCGCTGTGGAAACTGTTGTCCTACCTTTCGGCGGAGTTGGAGATCCAAGAAATGGTTCCATTGACTTTGCCGCGAATTTTGGATATCGCAAAAAGATTAACAAAATCGGAATTTCGTAAGTTCGTTCTTCCGCTCGTCATCTCTACGTTATCGACGACAAGTGCGCAGGTGTGCTATTTTTGTCCTGCTGATTCTATTTTTCTGAAACGAACTTACCACTACATTTTGCAGGTGCAAGCCGTCATCCTGTCCAACATCGACTTTTTGTTTAGCAGCTGCCCAGAGGCGGACGCCAAGAAACACCTGCTCCCTTTCCTTTACACAAAGCTGGACTCAGACGTTCCTCCTGTCCTGGTTAGATCTTTACGCTAGATTGCTTTGGCGCTTAGAGGATATCGTTTTTTTCAGGATCTTTGTTGCAAGTCCATTCCGAATGTTCATCATTTAATTGATAAGACATCGATGAAAACGATAATTTTGCCGAAGCTGCTACATCTGGCTACCGACGTGGCTAATATATCGGTGACTTTCCTTGATCATATTTAAATACAAATGGTGTTTATGAAGTTCTGGGAATCTAAAAGCGTCAGACATCATTAATCTGAGTACCTGGTATTTGATGCTGCTATTTCAGATAACGGGGGCAGACAAGAACTAAACTCACAAAGTTTTTATGTAGTTTTGAATTATACTGCTTAACCGTAGTCCTTAGTGATACACCTTTTAATGCGATGCATTATTTAGTTGTTTCTCAGTGATTGAATGAATTCCATATTTTATCCTGACCACAAGGTCCATGAAAGAATGCGGTCATTGTGAGTAAACAGCAGTTTTTATGTTCTGCCATAAATATTAGTCCTTCGGCGATCGGTACTGAAAATGAAGTGGCCAGTCGATTGGTTAATCTTTACCAGTTTACTTGCCTTGAATGATGTTATCCAATAACTGTTGGGTATTTGAATTTTGGTATCGTGGAGCTCATTCCAGAGGAAAGACGCAGTTCAAGATATCCGGCTAGATATCTTTCTGACTGGAAGTGCCCAGATCATATTGTCCTTTTGATTAGTACGGGGAGTGAACTTTTTCTGCCCCGACGGCTTCCTTATGCAGCACAGCTGTTGAAACGGCCCCTTCCTTAACGTCCGGAAGTCAAATTTATAAGGAATGCGTCCGGAACAGCAGAATTAAAATTTAAATAGGGAGGTGAAGCGCTTGAGGAAGTTAACCAATTTAATTATCTTCGCTCCATTATCTCCAATGATGGCACCGTCCAGTCAGAGTTAAATAGGAGGGTTAAACCACAGGACCACGCAAGGAGTGATTCTCTCTTTTCCGGGCACGCATCACTCAGTGTGAGAATTAGGAAAAGAAGGTTGGCGCAGCTAGACAAACTCGCTGAACATACACAACTTACTCAAGCTCACGAGCTTTTCGCTTGGTAGCAGAAACATGACAGACGGCAACCAGAAGGCCAGTACACATCATGAAGGAAAAAAATTATGGAAATCCTGCTTTCGGATAGGTATATTTTCTTCTGTGATACAGCAGTAGGCGCTTTCTAGCAAAGGCGTTGAGAGCCGCAGATGCAACGGACATCACAAACCAGAGACATTCTTCGTATGCAAACGGCTCCAGGTAATGATCTCAACCAACACAATTGAGAGGCCTGTCTTGCTGCAATTTTTTTACACCGTCTTCATTCATCTAATATTATTATGTAAAAATATTGTGATATATCAAGCACACCTTAATCATCGGCAGTAGTTTCTTAAAATAGGGAGGATCGATGACGCATAGTTTCATAAGGCACTTCAGTTATTGATTTTCGGGGATCTTCTTTCATGTTGCCAGAGTTCAAGAGGCTTTTTTGTTACCAAATGTGGTGCGCAGTTTCGGGGTTAGCTTTTCTGTTCAGGTGAAATGCTGTTTCATCAGAAAATGTGAACTTCTCGAAAAATCCAGGGAAATTAGAAATATAGACTTCAAGAAAAGATAGGACTTCGTATTGATGAAGTCAGCTCTCTTTTTGTAGTCGGTAGCATCTGATTAACTAAAACGTTGCATAAAGACGGTTTTATTATTGTCGTATTCTATAGGGACAGTATTGCGGCCCGTATGTGTGCAGATCCATTATCGACGGGCCACCATATGGCATTATGCATTGGATAATGCTCTGTGCTGTTTTTCTCAGAATGAACATCAGAGTATGATTAAGATACTCCATTGTAGCATGTGTGAAATGTCTAGTTCATCGCAAGCATGACACAAAGACTTTGCGAACTGTTTCTGAATGGTTTCTAAACAGTGACCAGTCTTCTCGAGGATTCTAGGTCTCCCTGATTGTTATTTGTCATTCTCTGACCAAGCTTCCTAGAAATTGTCATCCAGTTGTTATCTTCATTTCTGCTAATCACAACAGTCACTGTGCTATCTATTATTATTGACGGAAGAAGACGGAATTTATGAGAACTAGCATTAAATTAAATCTAACATTTACAGCTTTAGCATTAGGAGCTCCATGAGGAATTCTTCGAACACATTGTAATTTTGTCTTTATTATGCTCATATC